GACCGCCAACTTCTTCACAGCGCTGGACTCAAATCGACCACATCGCCGTCAGCCACCGCTGGCGAGGATCCATTAAAGACTGCCGCTCACACTGTTTAACATTGGTAGAAACGGACCGTGCTCTTCTGGGAGCCAGATTTCCCTTAAGCTTAGTAAACAACCGCAGAAATTCCACCGAAAACGGATGCCCACAATACAGTGTCAGCAATAGTTGCAAATCGGCCTTCGAAGAGGAACTATCAGATCACCTCTAAGCTCAGCCATCAGCCGCAGAAATCAGTGAACACTGGACAGCAATCAAAAAAGCGATCCAAATGTCGATCAAAACAAAGGCAGATTCTAGCACACGATCAAATCAAAAACGATGGCTCTCCTCAACCTCGGTTGCCTTGCTGGACGCTCACAAAGCCATTACATTGGATTCAAGATACGACAAAGCGCGCAAATCCCTTAAACTCCAGCTCATCAAGAGCCTCTGGAATGCCCTCGATAAGTGGTGGGTGGGGAAGTGTAGAGAAATGGAGAAGGCTGCGGCTATTGGTAATAGTCGCAATCTTTTTCGTTTAATTATGAGTACAGGTCCAAGAAACGTAGGTGTAAGTGAGGAAATGAAGGAGTCTGACGGCACAGTGATTCAGGCAAGGCCGTCTTGATGGATAGGCAGAACACTTTAAGGCTCAGTTCAGCTGGACCTCGTCAGCACCAGACTTCCCTATACCCCGTTCAACTGTGCAAATACTGCCAGTTGACATCAGTCCTCCATCTGAAATGGAGGTTACCCGAGAAATGAGTTATTTTAAAAGGTTTAAGGCATCCAGCCGCGACGGGCTGTCCCCATCCGTTTTTAAGAATGGAGGCTCAGCCATGGTTTTGGAGTTAACAAAACTCCTGGGCTCAGTGTGGGAAGGGGAACAGGTTCCAACTGAATGGTATAAATCGGTGATCATACCGATTTACAAGAAAAGTGACAGGTCCCCTTGTGAAAACCACAGAGGAATTAGTTTAATCAATATTGCCTCAAAACTTTTCGCTGGTATCATACTCCGTCGATTGTCTGCCGCACGTGAACGGTTTCAGACCTGGTCGAGGCTGTATTGAACACATCTTCACAGTCCGTCAAATTCTAGAACATAGACACTCCTTTCGTAGACCCACTATTTTTATTTTCTAGATCTGAAAGTGGCTTTCGACTCAGTCGACCGCTCTAAACTCTGGCGCTGCCTTTCC